TGGACTTGCAATGTGGTCATGTGGCCACTTAAAGCTTCTTTACTTTATTTTATTACCTGCAGCACTGAGGTAGCAATTATCCCTTCAGTTGTGAGTGCTAAGTGCTAATAGATACAAAGTGCAGAGGATCGTGGTAGCAAGAGTCAGTTCTATACACATGCCAGTAATTACCATGCAGTCACGGCTACCTTGTAGTTTTGAGTTTTGATGTATGCTAACTGCCAGAGTTGTCACATATGTGAACTGAATTTGTCTTTAAGTCAAGTGATGTTTTATATAATGATATGTACAACAGAAAGCTAACTCTAACTAAAGATTTAACATGAGTTACACCTTATCTTTAGAAAAGCACTAAGCAATCAATCAGATCCCATCTGCCTGCTGTGCTGGTGCATTATTAAATGCCCTACTCCATTGCAATAGATTTCCTTTTGGGTAAATCATGTCCATCATTCTTTCCTTTGGAAAATGTATGTTTATTCTGTTAATTTTCCTCTGCTGTGGTCTTAGAACTTCATTACAGATTTTATAACCTCTTCATACATCTTTAAAGCACTGACACTGACAGTTCTTCGTCCCAGATTCCTCAACATTTTGCAGTCTAATTTTTGTAACTTAATTAATATGCTCATTTTAACTTTTAATTTACTGCCGGTTTCTTTGTATATGTGCAACTATTGATAGTTTCTTTATAATTTCAATAATTATTCTTGCACATAAAAGGGACAGTATTTACTTTGCTTCTTAGTCATTCTCCCTTCTTCCGGCTGGGCAATCTCTTTGGGCAGCACTGCATTTGCTTACTCCGCATGTTCAGCCCTCCCTCCCTTCGTGGTGGATACAGGCAAGCTGTAGTTGTTTGATACCGGGAACACTCTCTTGGACACAACAGTTCGTGGCCAGAGCCAGTTGTGTACTTAGGCTGAGGTTCTGAATCAGAACTATTGGCAGAAAAAAAAGCTAATGTTTATGCTGGGACAGACGAAAGGCTGAAACCTAAGCCTGCAGCTTCTGAAAGTCACCTTGCTTCCAAGAAAGGAGAGACGGCTTTTGAACTTGGACTACACCAAGAACGCAGAGCTGCAAGAGAGGAAGCAACTCCAAGGCTCGATGAGATGTGCCTGGATCTTGTTCCTGGCAGCTTAGCTTTGTGAGCCATTAAATTATCTTTTCACTTTCATTGGATTGTCATTTGCAACCAAAGACACCTAATTAATTTAACTTAGAAAATACAGAAAGGTTATATTTGAGATGAGAATGCCTTTTCAAGCGGTGGGAAGGAGCAAAGATGTGGAGGAGATTGAAGAGAGAAGAGAAATGGGGCAAAGAAAGGCAAAGGGGCAATTTAAATTCCATCTATATGCTGATGAGACTCAAATGTGTGTCCATTCCAGATCCCTTGTCTGAACTCCAGACTCTTACATCAAATTACTTATTTCACTTTCTGTTTGGATGGCTCCAAGGAGGCCTATCCACAGCTCTAGAGTCAAACACTGGCTCAGACCCTAGACCTTCCTCTTATTAGCTGTTTGACTTTGATCAAGCTTCTTAAACTCTCTCTCATTGCCTTGTTCATTTTTATCCATATCATACAAAGAGTGGCTGTTTCTATTTTATGGAATAATTAAGGGGATTTCAGGAACCAACACCTATAAAATTTTGACAGATACTGGGCTTCTACTATTCATCTCTAAAATGTTAGCCTTTACTCAATGTTCAAAATACTCTTCTTAGTATTTCTGTCCTTGGGTTCCCCTATCATAGTCAGCATTATTCCTCTCAAGTCAGTTTAAGGGAGGTAGGAGTGACTGAACAGAACATGCTAAATGCCTCAAATAGTAGGGGAAAGGGGCAAAAATATTTAGTCTTGCTGTGAAGATGGACATTTTTTAGACATAAAGTCAATCTTGCTAGGCTATGGGTAGTTGGTAGAAAAAATCACTAAGGCATAATCAGGATATTCTTCTCATCTAATGCAGTATGAAGAAACCACTTAACTGGTGCCCATTTCTTAAATACTGAGACTTTAACAATACCCCAATACATAAGAAATCTCAAATTTATCTCTTAACTTAATACTGGATAGTATGATGATCAGGGAGTTAACTTTAAAATGCTTTTTATGTCTGTTTAAAAAAAGCAGGAAAACAGTGAAGAGAGAATTAAAAAATAGAAGTTGCTCTTTGAATATAGTAACCATGAAAGGCTTCTGTGGGCAACCTTTAAGCAGAATCTGAAAACAAATAAGGTAAGAGTATGATTATCTTCAAACAGAGCATTCTGTGAAGACAGATGGATGTATGAGTAGGTTCTTTTAAAGTGAGAAGATTAAAGACCATAGTCTGGAGTATGGTGAATAAGAGAGGCAGAAGAGGTCATAAGGCAAGTTGTTAGGGCAAATTATTCAGAGAAATGTCAAGATTATTTTCCCAAAGATAAGTGAAACAACATGCTATGTCTTTCACCAGAGAGGTGACTATGTCATTCAGACTACTGTATTGATATTTTTCTCTGCAATATTCATAATGGCTATGATATAAAACCAGATTAAATGTTCATCCATAGATGAAAGGATAAAGAAAATGAGGAATATATGCACAATGTAATTTTACTTAGCCATGAAGAAGAATGAAATAATGGTATGATGGAGAAATAATGGCACTTGGAAGAAAATGGATGGAACTGGAGATCTTTATATCAAGGAAAATAAATCAAGTTCAGAAAGTAAATTTTTCTAATATCCAGAGATTAGATTTAGATTTATGCCAGTAAGTTGGCTCAATGCATAAAGACATTTGCAACCGAGTTTGACATCCTGAGTTCAATCTCCAGGACCCATGCATCATAAGGAATAAATTGAGCTCCAAAAGTTAGTTGTCCTTTGACCTCTTTACATGTGCTATGGCACATATGCACTACCACCCCACCACTCTCTTACACATACACAAATAAATAAAAAAGTATAAAAAAGAAATTAGATTTGTATACATATATGGAGATACATAGGATTCAAAATAGAAGAGAAATTGTGAGGGGAGAGACTGAGATCTAATGGAAAGGTGGAAAAATGGAGAAAGTAAGGAAGAGAAAGAAAGACAAATATTACAGACTTTTTCCTGTAAGCAGAATCTAGATTTGGCTTTACAAACACACACACACACACACACACACACACACACACACACACACACACACACACACACATTCCAAGAAAGCAGAAATAGACTATTTGGGGGAAAGAAAGAGAAGCAGTGAGATTATGTATGTATGTATATATGCATGTATGTATGTAAATTAGGAAGCAAGTGATGAATGAGAAGAAGGAAAGTAATTGAACTTCTGTATGTGCAGCATAAATAATGGCAGCTAGAGCAAAGTACAAGTGAATCTAAGGAAGATAATGGTAGCAAAAGACATCTTTTTCTACTGCTGTGGTTGGATAGATAAGATGAAAAGCTTTGCCTTTGATCTTCCACCTCCTGATCTGACCTATTAGCAAACTGTCAATCAACTTGCAAAATGTATGTTGAATTTATTATAGTTTTAAGCACAGCACCTGGGGAAGGTTTTATTAATCTATCAGCATTGGCTAATGAGACCAACTTTACTTTCCTTCCTTGTGCATTCCTGGATTGATTTTTCTGCTTAATCTTCATAGTGACTGTTTCCCAAATAAGTGTACATATGATTTAGAGAGGCCTTAAAGATTCTCATAAGCTAAAATGGTAGTAAGTTCATCACTGGTAACCATAGCTATTATCTGTTTCAAATCAAAGTGATTGAGTTGCCATTAGAATAGCAGAATAAATAAAAAGGATTTTGAGGTGGAAGACTAAGAAAAGAAAGGGTTGATATTTTTCTGATTATCTTAGTATTTTTAAGATATGATGAGCTTTAATATCTGAATCCATCCCAGATGAACAATGGACCTCTCTTTAAGATTTGAAAAGCATGGAAAACCACAGGTCCATCCTCAGCACCAATGACCTCCCAATTCCCTTGATAATTAGTTCACTCTTTCACTATTCCCCAGGACTAATTTTATTTATTTATTTATTTATTTATTTATTTATTTATTTATTTATTTATTTATTTTTTTATTTATTTATATTTTGAGATAGGATCTCACTGTGTAGCTTCATATGATCTAGAACAGGCTGACTTTTAACTCACAGAGATCTTCCTGCCTTTGCCTCCTGAGTTCTGGGATCAAAGGTGTGTCTCACCTCGGCCTCCTCCAGACTCTAATATAACAATTGTCCCGTCACTGTCAGCACACTGCATGACTTATTTTTGTGAAGAAATTTGAAGCACTGTGATCTTCTTCAACCTCTCAACTTCTTACCTGTGTATTTCAGCCACATACTGATCATAACATTTCAGTATGCCAGATGAGGCAAAAAATATACTTATAAACTT